GCTATTGCCACCACTGGGCAAACTTTCTTCCATGGCTACAGCTCTCACCGGTTCCTGGAAACACTGCTCTTTTCTCTTACCTCCTTGGCCCTAAAGATGTAAATATCTCAATGCTGTTTCCAGCCTCAAGAGCTCTGTCATTGCTGCTGGGCTCCCTTAACCCTTCACATAGTTCTGCAAATAATCCCTTCACTAGCTGTCTTTAGTTAAGACCTCTGAGGCTGCCTATCTACCCTGTTGGGGCCCTGCCTGATACACCCTACTTAAAATACTGCTCCCTCCTATATCTGCCTGCCTTTGCCTTATTTTTCCTTTAAACAGTTTGCGGTGCCTGTCATATAGTTACCACTTCATCAATTTATATCATCAGTCTCATTCACTAAACATGTAAACCATATGAGAGCAGAGACTTGGTCTCTTGTTTCTTCTGCGTTTTCAGCATATAGAATGGAGCTTTAACATACTAGATACTCAGTACATATTTCTTGGGACATTGAGCATCTGAATGAATAAATAAACCCATTTCCTATGGGTGTTCCTAATCATAAAAGGCAAATTTTAGGCACTGCTTCTCCTCGGGTTATGATTTGTTGGATACAGATGTGGCGCAGCGTATCTAATTCATTCACACATTCATTCACCCATCCTACAAATGTTTGGTGAGTCCCAGGTCCCCTTCGCCCCCCAAAGCAGCGTGCTAAGACTTTAAGGGACCAGAAGGGTGAAGTCGCTGTCCATGGTTCTGAAACATCCTTCCCTATTAGATCGGAGATAGGTCTTTTAGAAGCAGACCCCTGTACTCCCTGCTGTTTTTACACAATATTATGATTCTCCTTCCACTTCCTATTTGCTAACCTTTGAACCCACATCTGTCCAACTCAAAAACTGGGCCTTTCCCATCAGATACTGCTGCCTCCTGAGGGCACATCTGACCTGAGGTCATAATCCCGAATCCTGAAGTGGGGGGCATATCCACAGTCCTCCCACATTCTTCTCCTCTCATGACTGCTCTGGGCACCCACATGCAGTGCAATGAATGCTCCCATTGTATAACTGATACACCAGCCTCCACAGAGCCTCTGGCTCCTACTAGAAACCCTCATCCTGCAAACACAGCTGGATCACGGAGGTAATTCAGTGAGTATGGTGGAGGAGCTCCCATCCACCCTGGCCTCATTAACGTCGGAGTTGTGGTGCTAATTAAATCAATTGCCCAGATGGCTTGGCAAATTGCTCAAGCCTGCCCAGAAAGGAATCTCGTGTCATTATTTGGAGCAATGATTTTTTATGAATAAAATAATTAGAAAAAGATATGTAAGTGGAATATAATAATCCATTAGCACAAATTTTACCTTTGTCATTTTTTGTTCTAAGTGTGAAATGCTGAGACCCATAATGCCACTCACAGACATCCCAAGTGTTCATAAAAAAAGTCCTAGAAAAATGCTGCTTGGTGTCAGGATTCATACTTACCATCATCATTTAAGTGACTGGATGTTCAATTTTCTACCTGTTGAGGATACAAGGTTTAGGGTGCACATTTGGGAGAATAAATTTCTAGTCTCAGGTCAGACACTAACATACCACGTGGTTCCAGTTAAGCCACCAAAGACCCACCTCAGCTTCAGTGGGTAAAAAGAGCCACGGAATTATGGACAGTGGCATGCATTCCAGGGATGCAAGGCATTTGCTGCACAGTGTTATCTGAGATATACTGGGATGTGCAGTGATTAGGAAATGAGCTAAGCCCTGATGTGCTGGGTCCTGTCACGGGGGAAGAAAGGCCATTGGGGGGTTTTGGCCAAGCAGGAACAACAAGGCTGGCAGAATCAGCTATAGGTGAACAGGAGCCAGCATCAGGACAAAGCCCAGAAAGCATGCCTCAGCTACCCCAAGAATTTGATGTCCTAGATTCCCCAGAAGCTCACAGCATGACAATGACCTCACTCACGGGAAGAGAATGGGGCTGGGCTGGCTGCATTCACACATAGGCGCGGAGGAAAGTTCCAGAAGGATGTGGAAGCATGTGGCAAGTTTGAGGAAATTATCCAGGACTGCTAGATGTAGACAGTGGAGCTGGATGGGATGGGTGTGGATGCACCATTTAATGAGGAAACCCCAGAGCCCTGTTGCTCTCACTTTTCAGTGAAGGGGCACCCGTTTCCTCATTGCGGGGGTCCATGGGTTCTGAGATAACCCTGCCAGTATAGGCTGATTTACATTTTTTCTAGTATTCCCACCAGACTCTGAACTTCCTGCATCTTCTTTGCATGGACCTCCCCTGCTCCAGTGACCCTGCATGCCTTCACGCTCTTGCTGGCACCCCTGGCACATGTCACCGCCAATCACTGCAGCCTCTCGGTAATTTCAAGTTCAAGCATCAATCTGACCCATCTCTTTAGCTCATCCCTGCATTCCCCCAGTTCCAACAATCCCCTGCCTCACTGCCATCTTCAGCCCACTGATGTTACCACGGCATTGCTATCTCCCATCCGAGTGTCCACACTGTGCCTCCTATTTAAAGGAAAGCCCTTGGTTAAGTTTAACAGTCACTGTGGGGCATACACCCAGCTCCCTCGTCCCTCCTACCTTTGCTGGACTATTTGGCTAAATTACAACCAGGGTAAGTTCAGTTCTCTGTCTGCTCGATGCCAACTGCCAGCATCATTGAGTGTAACAGTCCAAAACATGGGTCCACACTAACCGGCTCCGACTTCAAGCTCACTGCCATCAAAAGCACCCTGATGCTGTCCAGAAATCCTCAGTGTTTTTTTTTTTTCATGGCATATTATTCTCCTGCATACTCTATGCCTCCTTCAAAACTCATTTTGCCTCCTGAAATATCCAACACCTCCTTTGTTGTATGTACATCCAGCTGACCTTGCCTCCTACCGCACCAAGAAAGTAGAAACAATCAGAATTGAATTTCCACTGCCTCCCACCACCACATCTACCCTCCATCTGAATCTGTGCCCACGTACCTTACCTACCCTCCAGTTGCAAAGCCCAGGTCCTTCTCTGATGCATGGAGGCCCCACCCGCCCCAGTGCAGGACACTGATAATCCAATTCTTGCCTCTCTCCTCTCAGCATTGACCAGACTTCCCCTCAGCCCTGGGTCTTCCAGGCGGCACAGCAACAGGCTGCTACCTCTGTAGTCCTAAACAGTAAACTTCTCTCCACTCTCCTGCAGCTACTGTCCCGTCTCCCTCCCTCCCTTCACAGCACAGTTCCAAAAATGCTGTCGGTCCTCAGTGCCTCTAATTTCTTCTGAACGTAATACAAGAAAGTTTTGGCCGTCGTCACCCTGCTGACGCTACATGTATCTGGATGAAGCAGAGGAAGTGAAAAGAGACAATAACAGCAGGTGCCCCCCCCCAGTCTCAGTGCATGCTACCCCTCCCCCCAGGGCTTAAACTCCAAGCCAGGGGTCATACTGGGTTCCCTCAGCTCCACATCTAAGCCCATCAGCGGCGCACGCGGGTTCTGCCCGGCCCGCAGTAAATCCTGAATCTCTGTCCTCTCTTCTACCACTAGGCCTGCCGCCTTCCTCCCTGGTCTCTCAGCCTGCCTTCTCTTGTCCCCTCCTTTCATACAGCAGCAACACCAAGTTTAAGCCTTCTCTCCTTTCCCAAAACAAGTCAAACTCATTCCCACCCCCAATTCCTTCGGGTCTGAGAGTTCCTATTCAAAATGTCCTTCAGTCACATTGCCCCATCTCATCATTCATGTCTTGGTTTAAAAGTCCCCTCTTTATGAGGTTTCCTTGACTGCTCATCCGTGGGTACCCATTGCCCATCAATATCCTCCACATCCATCTCTCTCCTTCTCCTTAGAGTTTTGTTCCCATCAGAAATACCTTACTTATTTTTCCTGTTTTCTTCCCTATCTTTAGAGGAACATAAGATCTTCAAGGGCAGCTACCATGTGGTCTTCTTGGATACAGCATCCCTAACACCTACAACAGTGCCCAGCACAGCAGATGTTCAATCAGACCGGCTGAAAAAGTTCATAATGCTGTCAGTAATTCCTCATGCTTCTTTAGAGTGTTGTTCCTGTGCTAAGTGTTTCACATGTATTCACTCAAGTCTCACAGCCATCTCACAAAGTGATGCCACAATATTGCAACTTGACACGTTGGAAAACTGAACCATGGAAAGAGGCGTAATTTGTCCATATACACAGAGCTAGTCAGTGGCAAAGCAAAGTGGGGGTCTAGATTTTGCCTACCCTATAACCCAGACTGTTTTCACAGACATCACTTGAGAAAAAAAGTGGTGGCATCAGATAATCGGGCATAACTTTGATTTTCTTTCCTCCCTGGAGCAGGGAAATTCGAGGTTGGCTAAATGGTCTAAACACCAAAAAAAAAAAAAAATTAATGGAACAAAGCATATCATGGGAAGATCACTTCAATTTTTCTTCAAATGGTTTTAAGCACAGCTACTAGGTGTCATACTATACTGGTCAAACAGAGGCCAATTATATTTTCATCTGAAAAGTACTATTCTCTCTTTAAAAATTCATGCTTTTAAAACACTTTTCAAACTTCTTTTTTAATGCTGTTTGGCATCATGAATGGGGAGAGCAGCAAATCGATGTTACAGTCTTCATCATGACCTAGAAAAACAGTTGCGTTAAGCGCTAAGCTACATCCTTGGGTACCGTGTAATTACTTCCCCAGAAATATGTGTGTTGACAGCTCTAAAGTAGTACTGTGTTTTATCACGCTAATCAAATAATGCCTTGCAGAAAGCAATGGAAGCTCAATATTTTAATCCAACTTGCAAAGCATTGTATACTTTATTTCATTAAAAGCCTGTTGTCAAACAAGAGGATGGTATCCGAGGAACTCAACCCGAGTGCGGAGGGCGTGCGCAGTTCCATCTCTCCTCCTCAGTGCTTTGTCAAGGTTGCACGTGTTTGCCAGGGAAGCAAATATGCCCATTGCCCAGGTGGGCAGACCAGGCTGAGGCTGACAGAGCTTCCTCACGCGGCCCACTGCCCTGACTGTGTGTCCGGTGCTGCTGTCTGCAAGTTGACTGTGTGAGGCTCACCATCACCTGAAAACAAGGATGCATGTCACCGTCTCACTGGATGGATGTGTCAAGGCCACAAGACAGCCGTGAGAATGGCTCGCTCACCGGATTTTGCCCAGGAGCCCATGCTCTGAGAAAGGGACTGCAAGGCCTGCCCAAGACAAATGTATTATTCCAGGTACTAAGTGTGGGGAAACAGGCAAGCTAATGGGAGCGCTGACAGGCTCCTCCATCCTAAATGGATGGCACTCTCTTTCCGGTCATCACCCTCACCCGCCCTTTCCTTGTAAGTGTCTCTCCTGCCCCACAGGGACGCATTAGGTTCAGTGCAGGAAAGATGACAGTCAGTAGTTTCAAAAAGACAAATCAACAGAAATTCCCTTGTAACCAGTTTTTCTTTTTCCTATCATAGGAAGTCAAGATAAGGCAGTCATGCAGAAACAGCATTATGCTCAGGGTATATATATGATTGCAAGAGTTTAAAGATATTTTCTAGTTATAACTGTAAAGGAAATTGCCCTCATATCTTCCCATTTTTCCTTGACACATTTCTATAAGAACACAAAATTTTCTCCTAAGGCACAGACACCCTTGATTGCTAGGAGCTTGTGGTTTCTGTTCCTAGTTACTAAATTAATGACCTCTGAATACAGCAACTTTGTTCCTCCAGACGAATGCTGTTTAAATAAGGTTGTGGTGTGCGTGCACTTGGCATGTGCAACGCTGCCCCTCCTTCGCTCCCAGAGAGCTCATGGGGTGTTGAATTAGGTGTGCTGTGTATTAAGAGTACTGCCTTGTACCATTTATTCAACGAGTTTTTTCCTTTTCTATAGTTAAAATTTGATATTTTTTAATTCAGTTTTCTAGGATGCAGTGAATCTCCCCAGTCTCATTGTGATGTTTTCAGAGTTGAGTAATTCTTATGCTTTTCCCTCAGCTCAACAGTCTTGCACTGTGCAAAGGCTTCTGACTTCCTCCAGGCTTTCCACCGGGAGCCCTGAACACAGTTCAGGGACCAGTGTTGACAGATGGGGCTCAGGCCCAGGAAGTGGGTCCTGAGGTGTATTCCTGGGGTGCAGAACTGGAGGTATTGGGTGAGGAACTTCTCCTTGAACCCCCATGGAGAGACAGGAGCTGCCCAAGGGGACATGCTGCTCCCCAGAGATGCTCAGATGCGGATGGCGAGCATCTGTACACAATGCAGTGTTTCCCCCACGTGCACAGCTCCTGTGTGAGTCACCTCAACAATAAAACATCCCTAGAAAAACATGTTGGGAACATGGCAAGGTTGTAGGATTAGGAGGCAAAGTAGGCTCTACTCCAAGCCCTGAGATGAAGCCTCTGTGGGCTCAGGCAGGTCACCTACTCTATCTGGGATGACCCAGAGGACATCATTCCCAGCCCTGCATTTCTAAGAACCCAGGATGATCTTTGGGGGGAGGGAATGAGAAGCATGGGCCTCTTGCTCACCCTGTTCCAGAATGGGTGGCCCAGGAAGACCTTCTGAGTAGGGATGCTCATGCCCCAATTGCTCCTGTGGTCAGCTAGGGAGTCTCTCTCCCTTCGAGCAGATGGGACAGCTGTCCTGAGGGCCATTTCCATGCTTCTAGGAAAGCATCAGCTCCCTGCCATCTTCCGCTACCGCCCGAGCCCAAGTGAACAGGCTCCAGGGACAATTCCCTATCACGTGGATCAGCATGAGCCTCACAGGAGTGTCTTAATGGCGGAGGGCCTGGCAGGACACTAGCGACCCAAGGCATTCTTGGTACCAGCTGCACTACTCACACCGAAGACACTGAGCCAAGGAGAGCTTTGGGGAAGTATCCTAGGTCTGCTGCTTTTTAAATTTCTTAGGTTTTCCCCAGGGCAGCTGTAATGGAGGAGTTCACAGGCCAACTCAGTGCACCTCTGGGAGAAGAGCTTGTGGAGAGTAAAAGGGAACTCTCTGTGACAATACGCGAATGAAAATAGGCCCCCAGCTTGGGCTACCCATCCGAGGCCACAACCCTGATCATGTGAGCCCACTGCCCCAACCCTGTGCCCATGGCTGAAGCAGGACTCTGGTCCTCACTTCATCCCAGAAGCCATTCCTATTAGTGTGCAATTTGTTATCACATAAACCCTCCTTCACTCGTGAAAATGGGCTCTCTGCCCCCCACACCTCCTCATCCTGGCTCTGCCAATAGCTCAGGGCACTGCAGACACCCCTCTTCCCCTTTGCCCCTGGGGTCTGACTTTGGATAACCTTTAGAATCCTAAGAACGGCCCTATAGTCTTCCAGTGGGTGCATATGCAAACGTTCTCCCTGCAGAATGGGAGTGAGTGCATTTCATGGAGCCCCTGTAAGAACTGACCGCTGAGTAAAGTACTCTGCACAGGATGCCTGGCTGTCCGGGGAGCCTGACCCCTCTCCTGTTGATTAGAATCCCAGGGCAGGAACTATTTCTGGGTTTACTGTAGCCCATGGCTCTGCAGCGTGCTAGGAGGTGTCTGACTGCCCAAGTTGAGCAAGCTGACCCAGAGCTGTCCTGGTCCCAGAAGGCCACTCTTTCTGCAGACAGCCCCTGTGGATCGCAGGACTGCTGTCCACCTGCTGTCCACACCTGCCTTGTTTGCAGCAAACTTCTGGGTCCTTCTGAGGCCCCATCTGCTCTGTTTCCTCAAAGGCACCCCTTCTGTGCATCTTGGCTTCGTCCTGGTTGTAGGACGTCGGCTCACGCCAGTGACTGCATCCTAAGGTCTGGCCACCAATAGCACTTAGAGGCCCGTGGAGGATCTTTATTAAGTGCCTACTGTGTGCCCTTCAAAGGCCACTCAGACCTCTCCTTCAGGACCCTCCCAACCTCCCAGCTTTTAGACTGTAGGGTCACAGGGATGCCAGGGGGGAGAACAGAAAGACCGTATCCCAGGTGCCACAGGCCAGCAGAGCCTGCATCCCCCCGGGAGGCTCAGAGGGGTTAAGAAAACCCCTGGCTACCTCGGTGCCTCAGGCTGTTGTGAGAAAACCAGCAGGGACTAGATGAGCACAAACCACACATGTGGATTTCTCACCATTATGGAGGCTGGAAGCCCAAGAGCAAGGCCCCGGGAGACTCGGTGTCTGGTAAGAACCCTCTGCCTGGCCATCCCTTCCTGTGCCCTCCCAGGCGGCAAGGCCGAGAGAGCCCTCCAGGTCTCTTTTCTTGGGGTGCTGATCCCCATCCCGGACCACCACCCTCTTCATGTAATCCCCTCCCAAAGGCCCCACTTCCTGACACATTCACCTTGGCGGTTATGTCTCAATGTGTGGATTTGGGGGGACACACATTGGGTCAGGGTCTGGCCTGGTGCGCTTGCCAGGCCCTCATCCCCGGCCCCTCCCTGACACGGGCCTCCCCCACCACACACACACCTTTGCACACCTGGGACTCCCGAACCCCCACAGGGTACCTGCTCTGGCCCGCAGTGCGGGTCCAGGCCCTCTTTCTGCCTGCGTCGGAAACAAAGGTCCCTGAAGCCCGGAGACAGACAGGAGACACAGATGGAGGGAACGCCACCACTTAGACCACTTGTGAGCCACTTTGGGGACAGCCATTTCATCCTCCCAGATCCCAGAAACCGGTGGGGGTGGACATGACCTCCTCTTTCCGTTGAGAAATTGGGTCTTAGAGCTTTTGCTCTCCTTTTCCACAGTGGTACCACTGCTGCAGGGGGCCGAACGGGGATCTGAACCCAGACCCATGTGAGTGACCCTAACTACCAGGCCTCGCCATGGAGACTAGAGGCATATTCACGGGGGCCCCACTCCGAGCGTGCCCTTACGTTCCTGAAGCGAAACCTCCCAGGAAACTGCCTTCACAACTGGGCACTGCTGCACGAGAGAAACCGGGGAAAGACTGAAGAATTGTTGTCCTTGCATTAGTGAGATCAGGGATCACTAACCCAATGGAAGATGCCAGTCATCTTCATTTCACGCACAGTTTCAGAGGGAAGCCTCCGCTCAGGCCCCATCCCGCGACTCTTACTTGCTTTGCAGAAGAGCGGCCACACGGCCACGTGGGGCGGACCTGGGCCGTCATCCGGGCAGGAGAACTGCACAAGCTCTTCTGGTGACACCACCTTCTGTGTTCAACAGTCGCTGGAAACAAAGGGCTCCTGGAAAGATGCGCTTCCCTTAAATTCCCCAAAGGGACGCGCCTGCGAGTCTTTGAGCAAAGAGCCTGATGAGACCTTGAATGGGAACTTAAGTCCCCTATCTGCCTCAGGAGTTGGTGTAAAAATGAGCAATGATTGTAATCCTGCTCTGCTCAACTCCATTTTAATTGAAAATTATGTCTAAGATCCCCGCCTAGCCAGACTTAGCCTGTCTCCTGCCGCTCGGCAGGCACGGATTTATACAGCCGCTCATAGGAAAAGCTCCGTCACTTCCCATAAATATGCACAGGTTTCTGTTTGTTTGTACAATAAATATTACCGAGATCATAAGGAAATTAAAATGGAACTTGAAGACGGCTGTCCGCTGCTGATACACCCCACATGGATCATGTCCTCGGGAACGCTATCCCCCCAACACTGCAGATCCGCGGCTGTAAATGGCAGAGGAAAGGCTCTCTTAATGGATTTATGGTTTATCAGCGAGTCTCAGGGAAGTGGAGACGGATGGGTTCTCTCCAATATAGTATTCATTTGCAAATGACTGACTGTAGTTCAACTTTGCGGTCTATTTGTTTTGGTAAGCTGGAGTGCTAGCTATAATTCAATTTATTTTTAAGGAGGAGCACGTTACCTACAAAAACTTAGGAGCTACAGTCCTGTGCCTTGAGTCATCAGGAAGTATTTGTAGAGGCATTTTTAAGGGAAAAAGATCAGTCTTATTTCTTAATCATCCTGCTTCTCCCTCTCAGGTGAGGGACGCGCCTCTAAGGATATAGATTTGGATAAAATCAGATTTAGAGCATAAATTACAACGGTTTTAAAGCAGAAACACAGCTTGGGGATTATTTTCAAATTGGGCCATAAAATGGCCAGTGTCCCACACCCCTGGCCTGAGCAGCTGTGACCCTGACCGGGCCCCCCACATCAGCCCCATGCAAGCAGAGACGCTGCCCACTCCCGCTCCATCCCAGGGTCTACAAGCATCCCGGCCAAAAGCAGACATTCAAGAGAGATCGCTCCAATCACGAAAGGCAATATTCCCACAAGGGGCTCCATCTGTTTAATCTCACGGGACCACAAGTGGGAAGCATCCCTCCTCACTTCGAGGCTCCCCAGGTCAGTGTCCAGCTTGGGCTCAAATGTAGGTCATTTGAATCCTTTGTCAATAGACCCAAGACGGTCCGGGGCTCTTAGTGACTCTGGGGATCACTCCAGACTCAGACAGAGAACCCCAGGGAGAGCCTTTCTTAGGGCAGAGTGCTCAGGAGGCGTAGGCTGAGCGTGGAGTCGATTGCACCTGCCACAGCCTGAATCCACTGGGGGGCCAGTTACCCCGGGATAGTTCTCCCAGGACACTGCTCACGCAGGAACATCTGCTCCGCCTACGTCTGTCAGCTGGGCCTGTCTGATGGGCTGCAGGGGCCACGTCACCTGAAATGTGGGCGTGCCCACCTGGTGCCTCAGGCCAAGGAATCGGGCAGACCTCCCCACGCTGGAGGCTGAGCTGAGAAAGATCAGGTTGAGAGCATCAGAGGAGAGTGAGAAAAAGCCAATACATGGGATTAGGTTCCAGCCGCCCTTGGAGTGGCCACTTGGAAGACACGGCAGCCAGGAACACCATTCTAGGATGAGAGTAAGGGTTCTCATGGCATGGGTACGGAGCATGGTTGTGGAAGGTGCTCGGCGTGATGGAGGCATGGGCTGGCCCTTGGAGCCCGACAGACTCTGCTGTGTTCCTTTTGGGCCCACCTTGCTCTCCGGGAGAGTTTGCTGTGGGGAAAGCAATCAGGTGTACCATGACCACGCGCTGCACCTTTCCCATCAGGGACACACATCGTCAGCCCATGAACGAGGGCACAACACTCTGGTTCCAATTTACCTCCTTTCTCTGAGCTTGACCCTTGGACTATATCACCTCCGCTATTTTAAGTAGCAATGATTATAATTGCTGTGCTGTGGAAGAGACTTCATTTCACATATTTTCATTATTCTGAAAGACAAATTGTCCAGGAAGTCATAAGCCCCTTAGCAAATCACCATAAAAGTTATAAATGTACAGCACTCACCTGGGGGCCTGTGGTCATTCTCTTGGCCCAGGCTGTAGGCAGCGCTGCATTCGCTGGGATACAAGAAGGCCCTGGTCACTTCCCACGAGGTCACAACCGCTTCTGTTTTGCGCGGAGCCATCCTCAACGGGTGAGCTGTGAATGCAAGCAGAGGTGCGGGTGGCCTGAAGCATCAGCACCTGAGCTATCAGCACACCGCCCCCTGGGACACCACCCACCCCACTGCACCTGCCCCCAGCAAGGAGGAGGACCCCCTCAGCAACCCCAGGAGCAGCAGGATTGGATCTCCTGGGCCCCAGCTTTCCATGGCAGAGCCGCCAAGGCTGAGACCAGCTTCACTCCTCTCTGGAGAAGCCCCCCCAGACAGCTTTTCCACAGGGATTGCCAGAGAGTAAGGACGGGCCCAGGCCCAGGGAGCCCAGGCTTCCCCAGGCTGCCTGCGGGCCGAGGGAGGCCCTCTGCATTTTTCCCAAAGACGATCTGCTGCTGGGATTGTGGGTGACGATCCATGATCCTGTGGACTCCGTCTCCCCGGCCTGTTGTTACCCATGGAGGTGATTCCTCCTGTGTGTGATGGGGTGGCAACCCATGTCCTTGCTCTGGGAAAGAAACTACCCAGTGTCTTCTCACCAAGTCCTTTCCTGGATCCTGACACAAAGCACCTACTAATTTCCTTGTTTCCATATAACAAGAATCTGAAGTTCAAAGGGGTTAAAAAAAAAAAAAAAAAAAACCCTCCAGAATTGCAGTTGCTAAGGAACAGCGTCGCCAGAGTGGAGGGTCTTAGTCCAAGCCCCAGTGCTGATGAGGAGAAGGCTTGGGGATTAGCCAGCCTCGTTCATCCCGTGTCTGCTATTTTTCAATTGCCTTCAGCTTAAAATATGCCAGTGTCATATTTTGGGGAGGCACGTTCTGAACCCCTTCGCCCTATGAAGGAAGGGATCAGGTCCCTGGAATACAAACGCTCACTCTTCCTCAGTGCAGGCTGAGGACAGAGGTCCTTGACATGTGTGATGGGCATTTAAAATTCTCCATACGGGGCGCCTGGGGGGCTCAGTCATTAAGCGTCTGCCTTCGGCTCAGGTCATGATCCCAGGGTCCTGGGGTCGAGCCCCACATCGGGCTCCCTGCTCAGCGGGGAGTCTGCTTCTCCCTCTCCCACTCCCCCTGCTTGTGTTCCCTCTCTCGCTGTGTCTCTCTCTGTCAAATAAATAAAATCTTTAAAAATAAACAAATAAAATAAAATTCTCCGTACAAATAGCGGTGGCTTCAAAAACTCTCTCACACCTTGCTGCCTGGAAGAGTGCGTGTTGGGCTTTTCCTAGAAGCTACAACATAAATGTCGCTGGATTATGTGGCTGAAACCATTGTGTGTCAAGAGAATATCATTTAAAAGTGAGTATCATCTTTTAAAAAAAAAGAATCTGATCAATTGGGGGGAAAAAAAAGGAGAACCCACCATTGTGAAGTTAGTTACCCCAGAGAATAAAGTTTTCAAGTATCTATTTAAAGCCTCATATTTAGCTTCAAATGGTGATTTAGTTGGAAAAAAAAAAATAAAGCCTTCAGCAGTCTTTCGTGTGAAATGCTATTAGGCAGTGGTTGGTGATCCTGTCTTCAGAGCTGGCTCAGCAGGTGCCAGATCACAGTCAGCAATCGATTGCATCGGTGCTCACAAAGCAGCAGGTAGTAATACCCCTGCATTTGTATCTTGTGCTTAAGTAATTGTTTGCACCTTCAAGAAGGATTTTCTTTCCACACATTAGGGCGATGCCAATAGCCCAAGAAGTTATCTTGCTGGGGTACAGCTCCTCATCGAGCTCCCTGCAAAGTCCCTGGAAACACACGTTCAATTCCAGATTCCAGAGTGAGGCCAAAACCGATGTGAACAGAGCTCACTACACCAACAGGATAAAGTCATAAAAGGAAGTGAAAGTAAAACAAAAAAAGAAGAGGTCTCTATTGGCTTGCACCTGATATCAGTTTCTATCTTATATTTATTCTGATTCCTAATGTCAACAAACACAAAATATAAATACACATGTATGATCAGACTCACGAGGAGAAGCTGAACGCTTCCATTTGCGCCCATTGCCAAGACGGGGCGATGCTGCTCCAATTCGGAGCCAGAGAAGGAGCTGCTCTCTAGGCAAAAGCTGCACCCCCCACATGTGGGCTCTTGGTGAGGCTCTGACCACTCAGTCAGAGCTGGATGCGTCCGTGCACCAAGACTCTGCCAGACAGCCTCTCTATCCTCCCAACTCATCTGGCAGTTGCAGGAATTACCCCATTTTAGGGAGGAGAGACAGAGTCAGAGTTTCCGTACCTGACCAGAAGGCTGCCCGCTCCCGAGTGCCTGCGGGACTGAAATCCATGCCGATCTGAAGGGGGGAGGGTGGGAGGGTCCTCCTTTGTCACAGGTGCTGCCTGTTGTCTGAACACAGGATGGGAGTCGGCCCTATTATACGGTTATTTTGATTCAGTTGGAAATTCCTACTTAGAGAAGTTAAAACATGTGCGTCTGTTACTAGGGCTACAGTTGCATTTCAAAGGAAGGAAAGTAGAAATGCCTGGGCACGCTCTTCGGCCTTAAATTCGAGCCGAGGCACAGTCACGGGTCCGCCTCTCGCGCTGCCCTCGGGAGATTCCCTCCTGGGCTGGCTTTGCTCACCGGGCACATTTCCTTGAGCGCACACATCCTAGCCTTCCTCATGCTCCACGGGCATCAGCAGCCCTGAAAGGGGGCTCTGCCAACACATCCCAATATAAATGTCTTTTTAGGTATTCTTATATTTAGTCTTGCTTTGGATGATCTTTATCAGAAATTTTTGTTGGTGGGATGGTGTATATGATTCACCAAAAAAAAAAAAACAAACAAACCCCAAAAGGACGAAAATCTTCGCCCACCTCCCTTAGAAAGCACATCTCCCTTCCCCTCTCTCCGGCGCCTCCATCTCCGCCTCTCTCTTCCCCACCCTTGACCCCCTCCCCCTTGCTCTGTCCCAGTAATTGCTCAGGTGAGTTTCCTGAAGATCCACCCTTCTCATGCTCCTATTTCTGTTCCCCAAATACTCCTCTTCTAGGAGGAAAGGCAGGTGGAAAGCCAGAAGACACCTCTAATGTCAAGTGCCCACCAGACAGCAGACTGCCCTTGCCCACACTTCCCTGAATCCCAGAGTATTTTCTTCCGTGTCTTATAGGCGGGGAGTCTCACTTTGTAGCTACTGGGGAATTTTATGCACGCACTGAATTTTTTAAAACAACTTTATTGAGGTATAAATAACACACCATAAAATTCAAGCATTTTAAGCGTACGCTTCAATAATTTTTAGCAAATTTACCACGTTGTGCAAACATCATCACGATCCGGTTTTAGAACATCTCCATCTCCCCAGCAAGAGCCCTAATGCACATTTACAGCTCTAGGCAACCACTAACCTACTTCTGGCTCTCTACAGATACGCCTTTTCTGGACATTTCACATCAGTGAAACCATATAGTGTGTGGTCCCTCACTGGGCATAGTGTTAAGGTTCACCAGTGTTATAGCGTGCGTGTGTGCATCCTCTGTATGCACAGCCTGACTTTCCCTCTGGTTCCCTGGTGGTCGAGGACGTCTGTCCAGGAGACACCCTATGAACCCACACCTCAAGGATAGTGAACTGAATGTCAGGTGGTAACGGGGGCTTACGGGGGTTGCCGCTTTGAAGCCTTACCCTTGCATCTCTGCCGTCTTCAGTGTAACGTGTCCCTGCCCCCCGCTAGTCCAGCCCCTCCGCACACACCTACCTGGCTGCTCAAGAACATCAAGTTGCTCGTCAGCTGCTGCAAGCTGAGGGCAGCGGCTTGCTCTGCACTAAGAGGACAGCACTCAGCAATGGTTCACCTGCCACCACTGCCTTCCGGGGGCCGACCACATGCTGGGCTGGGTCTGGTGGCTGGGTGCTGTCAAACACCCACACCTCAGGCAGAGTTAGGGAAAGGGGAAGGCAAGTCCAAGGACGGTGTGTCTGTACGCGTGTGGGGGTGCGTCCTGTGGGCACACAGACACACACAAGCACATGTGTCTGTGATGGACAAGGGGCCAGGGGTCGGTGTTGAATAAAACACGTACAACTGCTAGAAATAAATCTCAGTCAGCGGCAACAATGGCCCCTTAGAAACTGCTGCACCCACATGGGAAGGAGCAGGAAACGCTAAGGTGGGCAGACGGCCCAGGGATGCATTCATGGTGATGACTACTCTAGAGTCAGTTTCTAGAAAGCTGACGGCCACAGTGACCAAGGAATGGTGCCTGTGTCCCCAAGGGCAAGGAGGGCAGCCGTGGGGTTCATGAGGCCCCACTTGACACCCATGGGGCAGGAGGACATTCACTTAGGGAGGCTGAGGGGTCCTGTGGGCTCCTGGTCACACAGCAGTGCTTTGGCTCCATGTGGCTCCCAGCAGCAGCCAGGCCCGCAGGGTTTGCCTCCACTGCCCAGGAGGTTAGGGACTTTGGGCCGCAGCGCCTGTGGGACGGGGGGAGAGCATGTGCTGGCTCCTGGACCCCGGGGACATTTTCCCAGCTTGCCTCTACTTCCCCCAGCACACATTTCTGAACGTGTGGAGGCTCCTTGGACATTAGGTCTGGGTCAGCAAGGGGTGGTTTTAGGAGGAAAAGCAGGCCCCAGGCCCGAGGGCTTAGAGGGGAAGCAGAGGACCAAACAAAGAGATTCTGAGGGTCCAGGGCATGAAGTGTGGGTGGCTGCCCAGAGATGACCAGAGGCGGCCAAGGGCCAGGTCAGAAGCCCTGATGGTGGGGCACGTTCAATGCCTGCCGCAAGCACAGTCCAGGCTGCCCACAGGGACACTTTGTGGAAAACGTTGTACAGAGGGGGAGGAGGGAGGGGCATCGGTCAGAATTAACTCTGAAGAGGAGGTGTCCAGGCCAAGTCACCGAGATGCAATGCAGTAATGCTGACTCCTTCCTTTCTCCCGGGGCACAGGCAACCAGCTTTCTGGGGGAGCATGTCCATGCGTGGTCAGCGTGGACTTGCACAGCTGGCCCCTCACCAGGGCTCCAGCTCAGAGCAGCACTCGTCGACATAGGGGACTTTGGGGAAGGTAAAGCTGTTCTGTTTGCAACTGTAATGGTGG